TATATATATATATATATATATATATATATATATATATATATATATATATATATATATATATATATATATCTGATTTTAAAAGCCATATTTCGATTTTGCTTGTTTCCGTGCCATTCTGTTTTGTGACCACTGATTTTTTAGTTCTAGTTCCATGGCTTTAGCTTGATGTGCTAAATATGTAATTTGATGCTTCTTCTTGGACTGAGAATTAACACTACAGCTCTGCATAGAAGTTGGCCTTTGTACAGATTCCTCTGTTAACGCTTTCACCAACCACTCTCTTTCATCTGGCTTGATATCTTCCCCGTTTATCTCGATTATATTTACTTCGTCGATTTCTCTATCTTTGCGTTTGACACCTCGCTTTCCACAGAGGTATTCAATGGCCTTTTCGTCGAAAGCTATGTTACCTTCTGTATCAATGTTATATTCTTGTTCAGGAACAGGTAGCTTTGGGCCGACCTCTGCTTTATTTTTCAATATAATTTCTTCTTTAGATAAATTCATAATATTGCTTGTCAATGTTTTATTTGAACTACTTGACTGGTCATTTATCAAAGTAATGGAACTAGTGGAGAAAGAGTCATGTGTTGTATTATTTTCCACATGCTTTGTGAGTTTGGTGTCTTCATCACTCATTTTGCCAGTGAAATCATTAGAACGCAGCTCTAGATCTGACAATCCCATAGTTGAATTATCTGACACATTTTTGCTTGAAGTTAGTCCAAAAAAATCTGCTCCCTCTTCTTCATCATCTGAATTTATCTCATTGTGTGATTTATTCACAGCTGTTTTTTCTGCCTTAGAATTATTTACCCTACTCGTATCAAATTCTTTTAGTGTCTTTGTCTGATGAATATTCGTTCTTGTCATGCATGTCTTAACAGATTGGGGTATCAGAATTTTCTTGTTGCTTGCAGTTTCTTCTTTTGGTGGTACCAAGATGGAAAAGAGTTTACAACCTGTCTAAAATCATAAAAATTTGAAGCATAACACACACACACGCACACGTATATATGCATAAATTAGTTAATTTCTTTAAAAAGTTTCAAAAAAAACTTACTTCTGATGGTTGTATAATCATCATTGGCTTTTGTTCACTCTCCTCCTGGAGGTCCTTAAACTAATTCAATATATCATATTTATATATATAAGTTCAATTTAAGGTAATATTGAAGGAGATCCTTCCTCTTCACTAATTTGGGTGAAACTTAGTAATATTATGTAATTAGATGCGTAGAAAAGGAACATAAAAGTAAAAATATCGCTCGTTAATCGTAATAAAGTTATGATGCGATAAAAGATGACAGGTTTTGAGATTACAATCTGTTATGTTGACAGCATATAAGTATATGAGCATACTTTTATATTCTTTTTCTACACATCTAATTACATAATATTACTAAGTTTCAACCAAATCGGTGAGAAGGGACTCCTTCAGTTTTATCCAATTTAATAAATAAAACATATTCTAAGATAGACATGTAGACACTTACCTTTGATAAGGAAGGCACTGTTATTTTCACTGTCTGTTTCTTAGCTGGCTTTATAACATGATCCCTTATGTGTGTCTCCTTCTTTAAAAGAATATTATCATCTTCTTCAGCATTTTCTGCTGAATCTTGATTCTTCGGTTTTGGTAGCATATCGAGAAATTTCTTAAAGCTCTCTGTATTATCGTCTTCTTCCTTTTCATCATTAGGGTTTTCTGAAATCACTTTAGGAGCGGGTAAAGACAACTTCACGATCGTTGGTACTGTTATAGCGCCTATTGTGTCATTGTTATTGTTTGCGAAAATTGTTCCTGCAGATTCATTCTCTTCGTTTTCGGAGCCTTCGTCACTGCTGTCGTACGCTACGAGACTCATTTCCAATCAAAAATATGTTTCAAATTTGTTTGTGTATATCGAACTCACAACCTAACTATCAAGATCTCTTTCTCTCTCTCTCTCTCTTTCATTTTAACCATCGACCTATAGAATGGACTGCGCAACGCTGGTTGAAAGTGCGTCTCGGTGTGGAAGAAGGACAACACTAGAGACACTATACAGAGATTGGATACGTAAAATCATCTTCTGATTGGTCTGTCATGTTTATGCTATTTCCGATTTTCAAATACAAGACATATCAATTTTAACTTTTAACACAGTTTCAAACGTTTCAAAGTTAATAAATATCTCTTGTCATTGTAATTTGTATACTTATTAATATTAAAATGCCAAATTGTTTACACGAGTCACATTGATCACGATGTAGACACAGCAGTTCTAACCTCACATCATCTGTACTTCGCCACACCAATGCAGTAATGTAGTAGTGTAGTACAGTAATGTAGTGCAGTAGTATAGCTGAAAAGAGTAAACTATAGATTTGTTCGTGTCGCATGCTCCAATGTGCTCCTACACGCTCCAACGTACTCTGATTGGTCCGCGTGGTGACGTGGCCAATCAGAGTGCGTTGGAGCGAGTAGGAGCACGTTGGGGCATGCGACGCGAACAAACCTTATGAGTTAAAATAAACTAGTGTGTCTTTCTGCCTCGCAGGATTTAGCATAAACATGGCGGACGGATCTCATATCCAGTCTCTGTATAGAGTGTTCCGAATTGCGCTGACAGTGCTGTTTTCGCGTTCCGAAATCATTTTCAGTATGCTGTAAGAAAACAAAACTTACTACATTTTTCACGAAAATAGATCCTAGGGAATTACTGACTTCCGGCTAATTCCGCACATTATTTTGAGGTAGAGCAGGTTCAGTAATATATATGGCATCTCAAGCGATGAAAAATGGCCTTCCATTTTCCTACACTGTTGCTACTGCCTAAAGCCCGTATCAGACTATAGATTACGATTGAGATTGAATTAAAATTGAGCCAATCAGAGCAAAATTCATTAGGCTCAAGTTTGATGAACTTTCCTCTGATTCACCAATTTTCAATACAATCTCAATCTTAATCCATAGTCTGATACGGGCTTAACAATTTTGGAACGACAATGGGTGCTTTCCAATTGCAATATCCCTAGACACTTTCATGCACACGGCGACACAAGTTGCATTCCAATTGTCGTAATCGTCGACACAACACTACACATCCGTACTTAGCTCGAGGGCTACTAGTCGGCTGTGTAAACTAGTGTTTTCTAGTGAAAATCCAAGTTAATAAGCGTAACGGCTTGAAAAGAGACTGGCATTTGCGACGTGAAGTGGATAATATCTTTTTTATTATTTAGATTTTATTATTTATTATTAAAAAATATCAAAATATAAGCATAATTGAAAAATAATCCTAACCTTATCCGACATATATACACATTAGTATACATTTTGTTCCAATTGAATCGTGCACAACGTTACACTTTGTGCATTTCTGTGTACATATGTGTTAAGATGTGTTAAGCAATTGGAAAGCACCCAATATGGCTAGTTTCAGTGGGTGCTTTCCAATTGCAATATCCCTAGACACTTTCATGCACACGGCGACACAAGTTGCATTCCAATTGTCGTAATTATCAACACAACACTACACGGAAGCGGTGCACTTGGACACGGTGCATTTGGACACAGCCAATCACAGCACCGTGTGATTAGAGACATTTGTAGGGTCCCTTGGAACAGCGACTTGTGATTGGACTGTGTTCAATTGCCCCGTGTCCAACTGATATACACCCACACTACACATCCGTACTCAGCTCGAGGGCTACTAGTCGGTGTTACGTCCACAATAAATAACTATATAGGGAAATTTGAAAGTAGTAAAATCAGTGACTTACGTGGACGATCAACAGAGTGATGACTCCGCTTTTGGGTCACTCTGCTTTTCACCGAGTTTACCCTGGGTCTCCGAAGTCTGGCGAAACAATCGATGAATCTGACGAGAAATCAGCGCTGTTCGTTCTCCTGGCTCGGTTTCGGATGTTCTGGCGCTGCGCGGGATGATGCGGCCCGCGATTCCGAATTTCGATTTCGCAACGTTCGAAAAATGAAGGGTAGGCAAAAGTAATTGCAACAGTTAGATTTTACGACTAATATATTCCAAATAAGTACACGAGAATGACCAGAGACTAATTATGAGAAGAAATAATCGCCTTCTCAACAAATGCGCGCGTTTTTATATGTCGCTTTGTCGCTGAGAGTCGTTTCCTGATTGGCTGATGGAGTCGTGGAGATGGAAGAGATTCATCCCATCGGTATGTTGTCACCGCGTCGATATCGCCGCGTCGTCCTGAGTGGTGTTTGGATTCAGTTTTCATGCTCCTGTTTATGTTAGCAGAGGGACGCCTTATCGCATTGAGCGATTACGGTTTCTCTTGTCTACAGTTGATCCATCGATTTTAAGACTCTCTAACGACACGCAGTGTTCAGCGTTATAATTTTAATTATAATATTTAACGTGCGCGAATATACATGTGCGCACGTACTTAGTCTAGTAACATAGGTATAATATATCTAGTAATGTCTGAAATAAGACAAGTCGGCCTCGGATCTATATTAATATATTATTAATGTTTCAAAATAAGTCCGGACGTTACATCAGCTGTGTAAACTAGCGTTTTCTAGTGAAAATTAAAGTTAATAAGCGTAGCGGCTTGAAAAGAGACTGGCATTTGTGTTGTGAAGTGGATAATATCTTTTTTATTATTTATTATTAAAAAACACCAAAATATAAGCACAGTTGGAAAATAATCCTAACCCTATCCGACATACGTACACATTAGTACACACTTTGTTCCAATTGAATAGTGCACAACGTTACACTTTATGCATTTCTGTGTACATATGTGTCAAGACGTGTTAAGCAAATGGAAAGCATCCAGTATCAATACTGGGTGCTTTCCAGTTGCGTACACTGTGTTACACAAAACCAGTTTATTGGTTGCATATTATCTTACAAGATATTTTAGATAATATGTGATCAATAAACTAGTTTTGTGTACACTCAGAGGTAGGTGTCCCTCGGCGGACCCGTATACGCCTGTCAAATAGACGAAAGCGACAACAGGCATATACGGAGGATGTACTGTACGTCTTATGTATAACGCGAGAAGCGAAGAAGGCACGTAGGGGAAGTGGTGGGAGACATTTTGATGTTGCATCCTTTTCGCACGTCGTCCGATCGAGAGAGAAAATATCAGCAGACGTTACAGTTGTTAGTGGTGTCCTCAATCACTCAAAGCTTGAATGCAGAGAATATGAGCGAGACAGCAATAAGGATACCGCGCTGTCTCTATAGGTGTTTCGCTCGCTCTAGTATCCATGTTTCCTCTTTTCTCCTTAGCAAAAATGCACGTTGTGCCGATGAATGACACCAAACGACAAAATTTAACTTTTTTGTTGTACGAATGTGAGTAGTCATTTCCGATGTATTTTTGCCCGCTAAGCACAAATCCTTAGTCCAAATTTGGTTACCGCGTTACATTTTTGAAAAAAATACATCGGAAATGATTGACATACCCTTATAGAAATATCATACTAAGAATTATTGATAATTACTTATTATCCAGTATTTTTAATACTGAAAATAAGTAATTATCAATGATTCTTAGTATGATATTTCTATAAGGTATATTTCGTCATTATAAGGTCATTAAGATGCGTCTGCATGTAATATTGAGATATTAAGATCTTTACAAAGAATGAATTTTGCCGGCATATGAAAAAAATCATCTGATGCTATAAACATTTCAGT